AGAGAGGATCTAAATTGCCCAGCAGACTGGTCTTGAATTTGAGATTCTCCTGACTCAGCCTCCCGAGTCACTGGTATTAGAGACTTTCACACTATTTCTTTTTATTTCCTTCCCTCCCCCTCTCCCTCTCTGCAGGAAAAACAGACTGTAAGTAAGTGACTCAAAGCTAGTTCTTGTTTGTCCAATGTTACTGTTCCTGCAGGGAGCTGGGGAGGAGCCCTGGGTCCTGGCTGGTCACAGCCTCTGAAAGTGCTAAAGCCCACAGAGACAGGCAGACTCACCCTACCTGCTCTCTGGGAAACCCTGCGACTAACACTATTTCTTAAACAATTCTTTTTTTTTTTATTAGTTGTTCATGACAATACAGTGATCTTGAAATATCATACATTTGAATCAAATGGGGTATAATTTCTCATTTTTCCAAGTGTCTTAAGCAATTCTTTTGAGTATATTGATATAAAATTCCCATGAGTATATTGATATATTTCTGAACTCTATTTTATTCTGCTGTTCTATTTTTGTATTTAACAATGTCATACTATTTTTCCTCATAATTTATTATGAAATCTCTTACTGTAAATTCTGTTCTTTGTTCTTTTCCTTCCCTTTTCTGCCTTTTCCAGCTCTTCTAGTTGGTGAGTTCTAGTTTCATTGACTATTTATAAAAGTTGGTTAATTCTTTTTCAAGTGTGACTTTTTTTGATTTTTTTCTGGTTTACATTTTTTGGTCTTTAATCATTTAAAACATCACTTGCTTTACAGTAATTTTCATATTCTTCTATTTTCTCTCATTTACCCATGTGGATTATCCATTTAGGACTGGTTGAATTGGCATGTGTTTTCAAAATTTTTAGTGTCCTACTGGGAAATCTTTTTCTATTTGTTTTGCATGAGTATTTCTGTGCTTTTTTTTTTTTTTTTTTTTTGCGGGGTGTTATTATCTGATTTAGATAAATTTTTAAATTAAATTATTGGCTAGGAGAATTCTTCTCATCATAGGTCATACAAGTTTGTACTCAAACCTGTAGACAGTGGCCTGGGATTTTCTCCTCACTTTTTTTTTTAAGTTTTGACTCTTTAAAAAAATTTTTTTTGTAGTTGTAGATAGACAGAATACCTTTATTTTATTTGTTTATTTTTATGTGGTGCTGAGGGTCGAACCCAGTGATTCACATGTGTAAGGCAAGTGCTCTGCCACTGAGCTACAGCCCCAGCCCTCCCCTCAAATTTTTTATCATGAGTATTTTCAAACAGAAGTTGAATGAATGGTATAATTAATGTTCATATAACCATCATTTATGTTTAACAATTGTGAACATTTGAATATATATATCTCTCTATATAGTACCTGCTGGATGATTTGAGAATAAGTTTTATATATAACATTTTACCTCTAAATACTTAAGTACTCATATTTTAAAACTGTCATTCCACCACAAAAATCCTAATACCATTACCACTCTTAAGCTTAACAATCATTTTCTAATATTTTGTGCTTCCTTGTCTGTACTAAAAATTGCCTCAGTTGTCCTCAACATTTTCATCATAACTGTTCTGTACAACCAGGATTTTGTCAAGTTTTACTTACTGATTTAAAAAATGTATATTTAGGGCTGGGGATATGGCTCAAGCGGCAGTGCGCTCGTCTTGCATGTGTGGGGCGCTGGGTTTGATCCTCAGCACCACATAAAAATAAAATAAAGATGTTGTGTCCACCGACAACTAAAAAATAAATATTAAAACTTTCTCTCTCTCTTAAAAATGTATATTTAATTGACAACACTTTTATGTGGAAGAATATGATGCTTCAATACACATGTACAACATGCAATAATTGGATCATTGTAATTGGCATATCTATCTCCTGAAACATTTATCATTTCCTTGTTCTGGGAACATTCAAAATTCCCTTTACTAGCTATTTGGAAGCACTTCATGAATTGTGATCAACCCTAGTCATCCTACTGTGCTATAGAACCTGAGAAGTTATTCCTTCTATCCTTGTATCCTGAACTCCTTAACCATCATCTCTCCATCCCTCTTACCTTCACATATTTCCAAGACTCTGGAAACTACTATTATACCTCTATTTCTAGGAGACCAACTTTTTAGCTACTACATATAAGCAAGAGGTTGCAGTCTATGTCTTTCTGTGTATGACTTATGTTACTCAATGCAGTGTCCTCCAGTTCCATCCATGTTGCTGAAAATTATTGATTTTCATTCTTTTATATGGCTGAATAATATTTCCTTGTGTATTTAAGCACATTTTAAAAAATCCATTCATCCATTGTTGAACACCTCAGTTGGTTCCATATCATGGCCATTGTGAATAGTGCAGCAGTAAATATCACTGGAGATAACTCTTTGGTATGCTGATTTCATTTTCATTGAATGTATGTGTGTGTATGTGTATATATATATATATATATATATAATCTCCATCCAGAAGTAGGGTAGTTGTATCATATGGTGGATCCATTTTTAATTTATTGAGTAGATTTCATATTGTTAACATAATGGTTGCACTAATTCTTATTCTTACCAGCAGTGTATAAGACTTCCCTTTTCTCTGCATCCTCACAGCATTTCTTCTTCCTCTTCTTCCCACATTCCTCCTCCTCTCCTCCTCCCCTCCTCATCCTTTTTTCCTTTTCCTTCTCCACATCCTTCTTCTTCTTTTGTTTTTTTTTTGATAATAGCCCATCTAATTTTGGTGAAATTATATATCATTGTGGTGTTTATTTTCATTTCCCTGATGGTTAGTGATGTTAAGCCTATTTTCATATACCTGTCAACCATTTGTGCATTTTTTAAGAAATGTCTTTTGAGATCATTTACTAATTATTTTTGGATGATTTATGTTTTTGTTGTTGAGTTTCTTGAGTTCCTTATATTTTCATGTGTGTGTGTCTCTCTCTCTATATATATTCATTTATTTCTCCTCTTCTTCTTCCTTCTTTCTTTTTTCTTTTCTCTCCCTCCCTCCCTTTCTTTCTTCCTTGCTTCCTTTCTCTCTCTCTCTCTCTCTCTCTTTCTTTTTCTCCAGGCATTATGGTACACACCTGTAATCCCAGCTACTCAGGAGGCTGAGACAAGAGGATTGCAAGTTTGAGGCCAGCCTGGGCAACTTTGGGATACCTTTTGTCAAAATAAAAATAAAAAGGACTGAGGATATGGCTCTGTGGCAGAGCCACAGAGGATATGGCTCTGTGGGTTTAAAACCTGGCCAGGCCAAAAAAAAAAAAAAAAAAAAAAAAAAGAAAAAATATCATTGTTCATACTGATGCCCTGAAATGTTGTTTCTTCTTTGAGTTTCATAGTTTTCTGGTCTTATATTTAAGTCTTTGATTCATTTTGTGTTAAGTTATTTGGTAATGGGAATTGAACCAAATCCCCAGCCTTTTTTTTTTTTTTTATTTTGAGACAGGATCTCACTAAGTTGCTTAGAGCCTTGCTAAATTACTGAGGTTGGCCTCTAACTTGCAATCCTTCTGCCTCAGCCTTCTGAGTGACTGGGATTACAGGCCTGTACCACCATGCCTGGCTGAGTTACTTTTTATATATGGTGAAAGAAAGGCATCCTTGCTGGTGATGGAGGACCTGTCATGGAATGTCAAATCCCAAGTAGGATGAGAGAACTCTCTATGAAGTAGGTAAGACTTGATGTGAGTTTCAGAAACTGAGCAGAATAAGGAGGTTTTCTGTATGGTAGGATACATCAGAGTGGGAGACAGAGCCTTACAGGGTAAGGAGGGCTTCTACCCATGGAGTTAACCTCGTGTGGGCTGTTGGAGCCTCAGGGAGGCTAAGTTATGGCTAGGAGATTAGCATCAAGAATCAGAGCACAAACAGAGTAAAGGAGTTTTTCCTGTGGAGTGATGGCTCAGCTCAGGGTTTTAGAACCTCAACAAGGTGAGGAGTCTGCACTGGGGAGGGTGTTAGCTGGCCCTGTTCAGGAATATCCAAGAAGAGTGAGGAGAACATCAGTGCTGGGGACAGGGTTTAGGACTGGGGAATCAGAGCTCAACCAAGAAGAGAAGGATGTTTTAGTAGAAGAGGGCTGGTACCAATAGTGGGAGATTAGTAACATCTGGAAGATTAAATGAATAAGTCAAAGTTAAAGGACAATAGGTTTCTTACTAAACTGAAACCTGGGACATTGGATTGGAATTGGAGTTATTAGTGTGAACTCATGGTTTTCAATATATTTAGATATAGAAATAAATATAAAGATCTGTATTTTGCTGAGGAGGAGAATTTAGGTAGGAGAGACTAAAAGAAGGGGAATCATTTGGGAAAAGCTAAGAGCAAAGAATGTGGGCATGAGCTGAGATCAGTTTTGTGGAAAGTTCCCACATGAAACTTTTAGTTTTTGATGTGTTTTCCTCTTGGCTTTTGGAAAAAAAATTAGCACTTGAAGTTTATCCTTCACATATAATTCCATGCCATTATCCCAACTGTTCAAAATATTCCTATGTACCTCCTAGAGCTGTTTGTTGGTGTATGTGGAGAATAAAGGGAAAGAGAAGTGTGGAATAAAATATGCCTCCTTTTCTGCCACCTAATAGAGATGCTTTCAGGAGTTCTGGTGGTGACCAGTAGCAAAATGAATAGAGATTCATGATGGAGATAATTATTAACATCAGGGGAAAGCACAGAGGAGCTTCTTCAGAAGGAATAGGATTTAAACTTGGTCTTCCCCATCGTACTAAAGGAAGCTGACTCTTGAATGTGAGGAGGCTGTCATCTGATATTTGTGTCAGTGATCATCTTAGAATGTGATATCAAGAAGCCGCCTGATCAGCCAGAAATGAGGAGGTGAATGCAATATGAACAAGTGTTTGCTTAGTTAGTTGGTTGGGTGAATGTGGAACACCAATTTTATTTTTTTGCTGATGAGTTTCAAGAGCACAGTTCTTAGGAAAGACTTCTCTAAATTGCTCATTTCCCCTTTTCCTTTCCTTCCTATTTCTTGCCCTTGCCTTTTGATTTCCTGCTTTTGTTACATCTGCTTAGCTGTATTTAGTATATTTAAAGACTAACTCTCATGGTGCTGGTCCTGGCGATTGCACCTCTCTCTGTGGAATGAGTGGTTTCATGCTGTGGTTTGAATTCTCATGAGACAGTCTCAGGGGTATGTGCCTATTTATTGCTTCTGCTCTCATCCAGTTGAGAGAAAGAACAGTCGACCACCATGTTTGGATCTCATGTATAAGATGTTTTAAGGAAGGGATGACACAGATTTTCTGAAGAAAGCTGAAGGGCTCTTCGCAGTATGGCTTCGGAAATCACTTATGCTGAAGTGAGGTTCAAAAATGAACCGAAGTCCTCAGGTACCAATTCAGATTCTCCTGCAGGTAAAAAATCGTTTTCCGGTGGTTAGAGTTAGTTATGTGGTGAAGGAGGAAGGGAAGGTTTATAAGCAAGGCATAGGTGATGTTAGTTGCTGTTCTGTGAGTGGTTGTGTCTGGGAAACCCTGGAATCCCTGATATTTTGTTGCCTGTAGATAAGCATTAAGAGGTTGAGGAGTTGTAAAGTGGCAAAGAAAAGATTTATGATACTTTCCTTACTGGTACCATTTAGGACAGTGTTTGTATTTTATTGTATATTCTTCCACATATAAATATACTGCCATGTGTGTAGGAGTATATTTGTATGTATGTATTATGTGTGTGTGTGTGTGTGTGTGTATGTGTATATATATATATATGTATATACATATATATATATATATTTTTTTTTCCCACCAAACTGAAATCACCCAGTGCTGAGGCGCTCATAAATGGTGGGCAAGTGCTCTCCTACTGCGCTTCATTCCCAGACCTGAAAATGGTTTCTAACTATGAGGTGGCAACAAGAAAGACTGATCTTCTCCTAAAAATGTGAATAGTTTTTAAAGATTTATCTGCTGCAGCATATATTTTTAAAGTAAAGTTGGAAACAATCTGGAAGATCATTTAAATATACAATGAAATACTGTACAACCACAATAAATGAAGAAATATGGAGATCTGAAAAAATATTCATGATGCATTGTTAAAGAAAATGGTTGTTAACAAATCAAGATTGATGATATGTCAATTGGGCAAAAATGCACATATGAATATATATTTTAAAAACTGATTGAGAGGCTGGGGGTTGTGGCTCAGTAGTAGAGCACTTGCCTAGCACATGCTGGGCCCTGGGTTTGATCCTCAGCACCACATAAAATAAAATAAATGTATTGTGTCCAACTACAATTAAAAATATTTTAAAAAACTGGCTGAAAGAATATATATTAAAATATTAAGAACAGTTATTCTCAATGGTAGGAAATAGTGTTTTTATGTATTTTATAAAATTTCTACAGTGATCATCATTGTTTCATTCCTATTCTTATTTTTAAATTATTTACAATCTTATACTATTAGTAATTGTGTGTCACATATAGAAAAGGAGAAGAAGATGAGGAAGAGGAAACAAGGACAGAATTTATTATTGGTGAAAATTATTTGGTTTCTTCTTCAGCTCCCAAAGAGAACACTACTCCTCTCAAAAGTAATCCCGCTTTTCCTAAGCTGCTTCTTGGATCATTGCTGATACTTTTCCTGCTGTTGGCAATCTTATTCTTTGTTGCTTTTGTCAGTAAGTATAGCAATTCAATCAATAATCAATGTCTGCCTTACATGAAATGAAGATTTCTCTTAGAACTGACATTTAACAATGTGTTTATCCAGATAGCTGAACAAGAAAATTTCTCTGGGGAGATAAAATTCTGTTGTATCTATTGGAAATTTTGCTCTTTTTTTAGGATTTAGTTACTGTCCTGTAAAAATAATGGAATCCATTCTCATTAGAGAATTTGAAGAATATATGTGGGTAAACGTGTTGGTGTAATAGAGTAAAATCTTTGAGGCATCATCTCTGTATTAGGCTCTCTGTGAGGGCAGAATGTTTCCTTAGTAGCACTTATAAAACTAGTCCTGTTTGACTTCACAGACACTTACATTTTGGGGTATGTAATGGACAAGAAGGAGATGGGAAGAAATATTCCAGAAGAGTTCTCCAATACATTATCTTCTAATTATTTCTGTTCTGCCCAAGATTGTGTGAGATTTAAAACCCAACTTAGCAAATAGATTTTTGCATATCTTGGCTTTCAGAATTTATCAAGATTTTAAGTCATAAACTCAGCCTACTTTTGGATAGGTATTTTATTCATTAATTTGGTCATTCAATAAGTGGTAATGGCCTTGTACTATTTGCTAGGCACAATGTTAGAGAGTCTAGAAAGAGTCACAAATTCTGTCCTCAAGAAACTGAATAGTCAAATGAACCAGTTCTTGCTGGGTGCAGGGGCACATACTTATAGTAATTCCAACTACTCAAGATGCTGAGGACAGCCTGGGCAACATACTGAGACCTCCAAAAAAAGAAGAACCAGTGTTTGCAACGTTGCATGGGAAGTGTTCTGTAGGTAAGAAGTGAGCACAAGAGGTTGAGGTAAACTTCCTGCAAGAGATGCCATCTAGAACTGTATATATCAAGAATGGTATAGACATATTATATATTTGGAGAAATATAAGCATACATGACTGGAACATATAGTGCTACTTGAAGAACTTTGAAATGAAGTTATTAGGGGCAGACATGAACAGGACACAGATTATGGAGTATTGTGTATCATTATAAAGAATTTGGATTTTTTCCCCTAAATATTATTTTACAAAGTAAATTAGTCTAAAATTTAGTGGGTTAAAAGAGCTATATATTTAGCTTCCACTTCTGAGGCTTGGCAATTTAGACTGGTTTCAGTTGGGAGTTTCCTCTGTCCTAGCTGAACTCACTCATGCATACTATGTCAGATACTAGTCATAGACGGAGAAAGAGGATGTCAAGTAGAATGACAGAGGCAATTTCACCACATTTCTGTTGTCATTTATCAGACTAGCCTGGGTTTGTTCACATGACCACTTACTGACTTCCAAGACTGAGGGTGAAAGGAAGCCAATCATGTTGAAGTCTCAATTTGGAACTAGCAGTTTCTTTTGCACATTCTGTTGGCCAAATGGAGTCTTAAAGGCAGCTCATATTCAAGTGGTGGAGAAACAGACCCCATATCTTGATTGGAGAAACTGTAAATTCACAGTGCAATGGGGTGTGAATACAGGGAGCGTGGAACTTTGAGGCCATTTATTCAGTGTGTCACAGTCATGGTAAGCCATTGAAAAATTCTGAACAAGGACTTGATATGGAAAAATTATGGAAAGTTTGTTTTTACAAAACTGTGACAATGGGTGTTAGAAAAATAAGTTAGAAGGCCAATGGATAATCTTGTTGATGCACATTGAGAGCCTGATCCAAGGAAACTGTTAGTGAAGAAAGAGGAGGTAGTTTTGAATGATAAAGGAGATATAATCAAGGAAGCCAACACTTGATGCATATTTAGATCTGATGATTAAGGGACCCAGGGAAGTTAAGTGTGACTCTAATATTTTGACCTAGTAAACTCAGCAATAATGAAGTCATTCAAAAAGGTAGACAATATAGGATGAGTAGCAGGTTTGTTTGGAAGATGATGATTTAAATTTTGAACATTTGAGGTTCTCCTGAACCTCAAATGTAATTATTTAGTAGGAGGAACATTTGTCTGTATTTTAGGAGGTTTGAGTTTTGGAATTTATTCAGGCAGCTGGTAACACCAGGGAATGTATGATATCACTCTGAAAGAAAACTTAGTATGAGAAGTAGGGAAAGGGATGAAACTCTGGACAACACTATATTTTAATAGTTGGATGAAGGAAGAGGAGCTTATAAAAGAGAAGAAGCAACAGTAAGAAATATGAGGCAGAAACGGGAAAGAACGCTGTCCTAAAAAGTTAAGGAGAGAGAGAACTGTGGTGAAGAATTGCAAGTCCATTTGAAAGATGATTAATAAGTGGTCATAGGATGTTACTGATGACCCATTTCGAGGATGGGTTTAGTGAAATTGTAAAAGCCAAAGTCAGAATGAGGTGGGTCAAGGAAAAAACAGGGGTAGGGGGAAAGAGAAAATTCAACTCCTAGGGAGTGAGGTGAGTTTTAATTTGACAGAGACATTTGCACTTAGGAGTTAGAATCCTTTGTGATGGGGAGAGTTAAAGGACAAAAGAGAAAGAGAACAACATCCTTTTGATTAATCTTGAAGTTTATAAAAAACATTTTTCTGTTCTTTAAGGTAAGCCATTTAGAAATGCTTAGAATTAGCAAATTCCTCCTTCTCCTAAAGTCCCAGGCTATGACATTTTTTTAAAAAATTGTTTTTATTTCTTGACTCAATATTTTTCCCTTGTTCTGTGTGATATGTTGCTTTTTTAAAATTTTTTATTCTAATTTTTTATATATGACAGCAGAATGCATTACAACTCATATTACATATATAGAGCACAATTTTTCATATCTCTGCTTATATACAAAGTATATTCACACCGTTCGTGTCTTCTTCATACACATACTTAGGGTAGTGTGATATCTATCTCATTCCATCATCTTTTTTTTTATCCCTTTGCCCCCTCCTTCTTCTACCCTCACCTTTGCCCTATCCACAGTTTGTCTAATTTTCTCATGCTCCTCCTCCCAACCTTCTATGTATCAGTCTCCTTATATCAGAGAAAACGTTCTGCATTTGGTTTTTTGGGATTGGCTAACTTCACTTAGCATTATATTCTCCAACTCCATCCATTTGCCTGCAAATGCCATGATTTTATTTTCTTTCATTGCTAAGTAATATTCCATTGTGTATATATACCACGTTTTCTTTATCCATTCAACTACTGATGGGCATCTAGGTTGATTCCACAGTTTAGTCATTGTGAATTGTGCTGCTATAAACATTGATGTGGCTGTGTCCCTGTAGTATGCTGTTTTTAAGTATTTTGTATAAACCCAGGAGTGGGATAGCTGGGTCAAAAGGTGGTTCCATTCCCATTTTTCTAAGGAATCTCCATACTGCTTTCCATATTGGCTATACCATTTGCAGTCCCACCAGCAATGTATGAGTGTGTCTTTTCCCCCATATCCTCGCCAATGCTTATTGTTGTTTGCATTCTTAATAGCTGCCATTCTGACTGGAGTGAGAAGAAATCTTAGGATAGTTTTGATTTGCATTTCTCTAATTGCTAGAGATGTTGAATATTTTTTCGTATATTTGTTGATTGATTATATATCCTCTTCTGAGAAATGTCTGTTCAGTTCCGTGGCTTATTTATTGATTGGGTTATTTGTTTTTTTGGTGTTTAGCTTTTTGAGTTCTCTATATACCCTAGAGATTAGTGCTCTATCTGATGTGTGAGGGGTAAAAATTTGCTCTCAAGCTGTAGGCTCTCTATTCACCTCACAGATTGTTTCTTTTGCTGAGAAGAAGCTTTTTAGTTTGAATCCATCCCATTTATTAAGTCTTGATTTTAGTTCTTGTACTATAGGAGTCTTGTTAAGAAAGTAGGGGCCTAATCTGATATGATGTAGATTTGGGCCTACTATTTCTTCTGCTAGACACAGGGTCTCTGGTTTAATTCTAGGTCCTTGATCCACTTTGAGTTGAGTTTTGTATATGGTGAGAGATAGGGGTTTAATTTCATTTTGTTGCATGTGGATTTCCAGTTTTCCCAGCACCATTTATTGAAGAGGCTATATTTTCTTCAATGTATGTTTTTGGCGCCTTTGTCTAATATAAGATAACTGTAATTATGTGGGTTAGTCTCTGTGTCCTCTGTTCTGTACCATTGGTCTACCAGTCTGTTTTAGTGTCAATACCATGCTGTTTTTGTTACTATTGCTCTGTAGTATAGTTTAAGATCTGGCATAGTGATGCTACCTGCTTCACTCTTCTTGCTAAGGATTGCTTTAGATATTCTGGGTCTCTTATTTTTCCAGATGAATTTCATGACTGCCTTTTTTTTATTTCTGTGAGGAATGCCATTGGGATTTTGATTGGAATTGCGTTAAATACATATAGTGCTTTTGGTAGTATGGTCATTTTGACAATATTAATTCTGCCTATCCAAGAACAAGGGAGATCTTTTCATCTTCTAAGGTCTTCTTTAATTTTGATATTTAGCATTCTGTAGTTTTCATTGTAGAGGTCTTTCACTTCTTTTGTTAGGTTGATTCTCAAGTATTTTTTTTGAGGCTATTGTAAATGGGGTAGTTTTCTCATTTCCCTTTCAGAGGATTTGTCACTGATATACAGAAATGCCTTTGATTTATGGGCGTTGATTTTGTATCCTACTAATTTGCTCAATTTATTTTCTAGTTCTAGAAGTTTTCTGGTGGAATTTTTTGGGTCTTCTAGGTATAGAATCATATCATTGGTAAATAGTGCTAATTTGAGTTCTTCTTTTCTATGTGTATCCCTTTAATTTTTTTTCATCTGTCTAATTGCTCTGGCCCGTGCTTCAAGAACTATGTTAAATAGAAGTGGTTAAAGAGGGCATCTCTGTCTTGTTCCAGTTTTTAGAGGGGGTGTTTTCATTTTTCTCCATTTAGAATGATATTGGCCTGGGGCTTATGGTAGATGGCCTTTACAATGTTGAGGTATGTTCCTGTTATCCCTAGTTTTTCTAGTGTTTTGAACATGAAGGGGTGCTGTATTTTGTCAAATGCTTTTTCTGTGTCTATTGAGATGATCCTATGGTTCTTACCTTTAAGTCTATTGTGTGAAAATTCTCAAATGCATTTATTTGACCTCCACTCCCTTCCCACAGATTTGGCCTTCATTTGCATTTTATGTTAAGTATTGAAGGAGACTGTGGATAAGTTCCTTTAGATCCCATTATGATGGAACTGTCATGTCCTCTTCTAACTCCTCATCTTTTAGCTCTTCCTGGAGCTATCTAATATTTCAAAAACAGTAGGATTAGGCCTGTTGACTGTGGGGTCATGGGGAAAGTTTTCCTGTCAGGCTGTGTCCAATTAGGTAATAAGACATTTGTAGATTTTGTTTCTGTGTCAAATGCAAGAAAGCAACAGTAAAGGGCAATGACCTAGGTTGGGGCTGTGGCTCAGTGGTAGAGTGCTTGCCTTGCATGTTTGAAGTGCTGGGTTCGATCCTCAGTACCACATAAAAATAAATAAGGCAAATAGAGGTATTGTGTCCATCTACAACTAAAAAAAAAAAAAAAAAAACTTTAATGAAAGAGCAATGACCTAATGCTACCAGGAAAATGATTGGTTTTTATTCTATTTTTCAGTTATCTTTAACAAATATTCTCAGCTACTTGAAGAAAAGACCTATAAAGTTTCTATGAAGACCTCGATTCACACAAATTTAAAGTGTGTAAGAAACAATTCAACCATGGAAGGTAAATTTAATGTACCTAGGGTTCAGTTGCTGACTATAGTATTAAGGATCCCAAATCAGTATTTATGATTTCCAGATAGATCACACTAAAAAGAGTAGTCTCACAATCATTGTAAGCTTCAAGTGTACAATACATAACACCTGAAATTCTTATACATTTAAAGTTTTCTATGCAATGCTTGATTGTAAAAAAGGATATATTGCTATTGCATTTCTTCAGCCGGTGCTTCTTTCTGAGGTTTCTGTGCAAGGCTACTCTTTTTCTCATATGTCAATTATAACAATTTGATAAAAATGATGATGAATATATTATTGTGAATGTGAATATTTTACATTAAAATAGGCTATTTTAAAACATCTTTATATTTACAGAAAAATTGAGCAGATAATATTAAAAGATTCTATTTTAATCCCCTCCTTGCACACACAGTGCCCTTTATTATTAACTTAAGTAAGGACATTTGTTATGACAAATGAACCAATATTGATGTTTTTATTACTAAATTCATGATTTTTTCCCCCTTTGGTACTAGGAATTAATCTTAGGAATTCACACATCTAGGCAAGTATTTATCACTTAGCCACCTCTCTACCCCCAAATTCTTGATTTTCTAAATTTTCAAGTATTGTACTTTTTCTGCACTGGAGTCCCATGCAGTCCCCCACATTGCATTTAGTTGTTATCTCTCTTTAGGTTCCTCTTTGCTGTGATAGTTTTTCAGACCTTCCTTGTTTTTGATGACTCTTAACAATTTTGGGAAACACTGTTCTATATATTATTGGTTGTCCCTTATTAAAAGTTGAAGTTTTCCTAATGATTATATGGGGATTATTTGTTTTTGGGAGGAGGCTTACAGATGTCAAATGCTATTTTCATCACATCATTTTAATTGTTTGCATTATCAAAGTAGTTTTTGACTGTTGATGCCAAAGTTGATTACCCGAGGTAGTGTTAGATTTCTCCATTGTAAATGTATTCCCTCTCCTGTTCCCAGACTATAGAGTTTACCAGGAGGTTGCTGTGTGTAGATAATATTTTATTTAGGGTGGAGGAGTCATGCTTTCTGTTTATTAGGGTGGAGTGTTAGTTAGAGCTCTCCAGAAGAACAGAAGCAATATGAATATGGATATTTATTTTAGGAACTTGGCTCATGCAATGTTGGGGGCTTGATAAATTCAATATTTGATCTGGGTAACTTGCAGGCTAAAGATTGAGGAAGGAGTGGCAGATTGAGGCCAAAGGAAGTCTGTTATGCTTTTAAAAGGTCATTATATTTTTCAATGATACAATATCCATTTTTTACATGTTCTATTTTTTTTGTTTAGTCTATTTTTTCCTTTATTTGTTTCTTTTTTGGGGGGCGTTTACAGGGATTGAACCCAGGGGCACTAAACCACTGAGCCACATTCCAACCCTTTTTATTTTTAATTGTGAGATAGGGACTCACTGAATTACTTAGGGCTTTTTCTTTGTTTCAAGATTGTTTATATCTTCTTGTTGAAGCATTTTTTATCATGGTTGCTTTAAAATCATTGTCAGATCATGCTAACATTTTTGTTATCTGTATCTATTGATTATCATTTTTTACTAAATTTGAGAACTTCTTGGTTCTTGATATAATTAATTATTTTCTGTTGAAACCTGGATACTTTCATTTTGAGGTTTTGGAGTCTGGGTTTTATTTAAACATTATATTTTACTGTTTTTTTTCCTGATACCAGTCCACCAGGTGAAAGGGGCCCTGACACATTACTGCCTGGTGGAGGCAGATTCGGCTCCTTGGAACTTGAGGAAAGGAGTCTCCTTGTTATATCTGGGTGAACATGGGAGCTGCTGCTTTCATGCTGTTTCCTTAGGCTTGTAAATTTAATAATACACACAGTTTAAACATACATGTTCATATAACACACTTATTTGCCCTTCTTGTCAATAAAGGAAAAGTCTGGAGCTGTTGCCCAGAGCATTGGAAGTCATTTAGTTCCAGTTGCTACTTTTTTTCTACTGATGCAAAATCTTGGAAGGAGAGACAGGAGAACTGCTCTAGAATGGAGGCTCACCTGGTGGTGATCAACAGCAAGGAAGAGCAGGTACTTTCTAAGAGACAATGGAGTCATGAGCCTGTCTGACTTTTGTACTTGTCTTTGCTAAGAAGGGATATTGATGCTGTGGCAGAAGACTTTCCATAAGACAGATAGGAGAGGCTCCCTCAGCCTTCATATTACACACCTTGTACCTTCTTCAGTATAACTAACCTACCCCCAGGGAAACTATGGCATTCAACATGTAAGACCTGGGGGTTTAGTGAAAGGATGAAATGTTTCTGCCTATAACAGCAGTTGGTTATTTCAATATAAAACTGTTTTCTGAATTATCAACTGCTAAACAGAAAGGAGAATTAACTTGAATGGGCAAAGTTAAATCGAGAGACTCACAATCAGCAATCAGGAATGAAATTTTAAGAATCTGTGAAGTGCTGGGTGTTGTGGTGCATGTTTGTAATCCCATGGGGCTTGGGAGGCTCAGGCAGGAGGATCTCAAGTTCAAAGCAATCCCCTACAGTGTAGCAGGGCCCTAACCAATTTAGCAAGACCCTGTTCCTAATTGAAATATAAGAAAAGGTGGGAATGTGGCTCAGTGGTTAAGCATTCCTGGGTTCAATTTCTGGTACAAAAAAAAATCATGATGTTATGAAAGGAAAATGATTAAATTCGTAAGAATTTTCTCATGCACAACTTTGAAGAATGTTCTTCAGTGAAGAAAAGAGGGAAAGTGTGGGTGGATCTGGATCACTGAGCTTGACCTTCTGTGGCAGTCTGCTGTTCGGAAGGGGCGGCCCTGTGATGGAGGCTAGGCTCCACAATGGAATATTACTCAGCAATAAAAGAGAATAAAATCATGGCATTTGCAGGTAAATGGATGGAGTTAGATAAGATAATGCTAAGTGAAGTTAGCCAATCCCAAAAAACCAAATGCCAAATATTTTCTCTGATGTAAGGAGGCTGATTCACAGTGGTAGGGAGGGAGAG